TTTTCCATAATTGTGTGTTCATATGAAACTCGGCGTAAAACAGTCTGTCTTGATATACACTAACGGTAACGTAAGTCACCATTATACAATTATTTCTTAGTAATTGATATTGTGTGACACATGTTGTAGGACGATTCCTTTCTGAAATGATTTTTTGTTTTTACGACACATTAACGCTTCCGTCATTACTTTTCTGTCATATCTACTGAACAGTTTAGTACTGGCATTCAACAACCTGAAAATGTGAACTATAAACATTAACAGTGCGACGTTGTAATACAAAGATTCCTTTTTTACCTTTTAAATCTATAGAGTATCCTTACATGATAAAGCTATAATAAGTTGATTTATTGTTAACAATTTTACAATTTGTCATATCCAAAATGATATATAGTCGAAACGCTCCGGTGAAAGAAAGGAAAATATTACATATTTTAGTATGCAATGACATCAAAGAAATTTTGTCAATTATTTACAAAATATTTGAAAATGGACGAACGGTCACAGGAATAGAACATTCCTTAAGTTGGCTGGATAACATACATTATTAAATAACTATACGTTATTAGTCCTATAAAAAAGCACCGCCACGTTCAATAACTCAATGGCCTGTCTTAAAACAATGTCAATATCTATATTACTTTTTCGGCCCCGGTTTGGCTTTTTCTCCATCATCTTTAAATATTTAAGATACTGTTGTCTCCATAGCCATTTCACTTTTAGTTTAGCAATTTTTCAGAATATTTGTCACATGAGTTTCACAGTAGTCAGCTCGACAAATTGTTGCATATTCGTAAAATTGAATCTTTAAGTGAACTTATTACATAAATATTTTTAAAAACAACCTCAAGAATAAAGAAATACTCTCAATGAACGGAAGCATATAACTTTCGGCCGTGAATTACGTTACAAAAACACTCATGATATTAATTGTTTGTAAAAAAAACTAACAAGAAAGTGGACTTTAGTTATACGCTTTTTTATTTATTTAACTCTTGAACATTGAAAACAATTAATAGTTAACATGAACTTTCAAATATATAAACAACATGTAGAATGAAAAAAATACATTAATTTCTGTTTTGATTGTTTTGCTTCAGAGCTAAAATAATTTCACATGTCAATTAATATAGATAAAAATTCCTGTGACATATTGTGACATGAATATTAGAATTCGACAAGTGCAACCCTTTTTCAAATAATTTTCCATAATTGTGTGTTCATATGAAACTCCTTTGCGTAAAACAGTCTGTATTGATATACACTAACGGTAACGTAAGTCACCATTATACAATTATTTCTTAGTAATTGATATTGTGTGACACATGTTGTAGGACGATTCCTTTCTGAAATGATTTTTTGTTTTTACGACACATTAACGCTTCCGTCATTACTTTTCTGTCATATCTACTGAACAGTTTAGTACTGGCATTCAACAACCTGAAAATGTGAACTATAAACATTAACAGTGCGACGTTGTAATACAAAGGTTCCTTTTTTACCTTTTAAATATATAGAGTATCCTTACATGATAAAGCTATAATAAGTTGATTTATTGTTAACAATTTTACAATTTGTCATACCCAAAATGATATATAGTCGAAACGCTCCTGTGAAAGAAAGGAAAATATTACATATTTTAGTATGCAATGACATCAAAGAAAGTTGACACGATGAGCCATAAATCATTATTATGTGATTTATCTTATATTTTATATTGAAACTAAGAATAAATGTTCACCTAACTTTTTATTTTGATTTTTTTGTCTGCATTTAATAACTGTATTTCTTCATCTTTAGCCTAGACTAGTATATATAAAAAATCATCAATTATTGCCAAAGTCGGATTTAAGTAGGCTACCTGTACATAGCCGATGCACACCGTCGTAAACATCATATAAACGTTTTAGCAAACTCTACCGTTTCTTAAGTATTTTGCGACAGTAAATTTATTTTGCAAATTTAAAAAAAAAATTTGATTGTATGGATTATCTCAATTATGTTTCATATAAATTTTGGCTAAATTACAGGGTTTTTCTTTTTTTATATTTAATATTTATTTATTTATTTTGTGTTTGAGGGGGGTACTTGCATGCGAGCAATTCCCGTCCAAAAATCGTATTTACTTAAGCATTATTTTTCATAACACTCACTCATAAAAACAAATGATTGTTACATATCAAAATTTGGTTCGTTACACACATTATAGAAATTCCATTATGTTCTAAACATAGACACTGCGGTATACCGTACCACGGATATTGCTCGATATTATGAGGACTTTCATCCCAATTCGCGACTGCAAACGGGGGACAAAGGTAAGTTCAGCGACGATATTTTCCAAACTAATGTCTATTTCATTTATCTCAATGGGTTTTATATATCTAGAGGTATTTTTGTAGCTCTAAAAGACAACAAAGTATTACAGATATTTGTAAAACTACCCCTAAACGATCGGCTGCTCACTAGAAAATACTGACCACGATACTGTAGAATCGTTGGAAATTATTATATTACCAAGATTAAAACATTCTGAGTCGAGCATTTTTTTAAAATCATAATCAAAGTATGCTTAGTCCAAATTGCAGGCAAAAAGTATCAAAGTACAAAAGAATACAGGCCAAAAAAGATACAAGAAAGTGTACCGAGTATTGATTTTAAGTGTACAGAGTATTGCAAAACAGCCCAACTTTAGTGTACAGTGTATTGCAAAACAGAATAAGCAAATTAGAATAGATAATCGATATTTTTTTCTAATTTTTACGTCTGTCTATTGATGCCATTTTATTTTGCCGGTAATGTACTGTTTATGATATTTATTCAAATATTTCTGATTCAACAATGCATATATTCAGTGTTATTACTGTTCTTTTTCTACGGACAAATACAGAGTTTTAATTTCCCTTTTGATTGAAAATCACACAGTACGGATGAAATAAAGTTTAAGCTGTTAATAAGGCTGGCGTTTAAGTGTGTGCTTATAGTCGGCGGCAAGGTCGGGAGCAAAATTGACGATAAAAATCTTTAAATAAATGTCTCAAGAAACTGTGATCAGGGAGACCCAACCCTAAAAAGAAGAAAAACACATATTTATATGGCATTAATTATACGTTTTTACAGGGCAAGTGTGTCTTAAGAAACATATCGACACACAATTAAGTAAATTATTGGCCCGAGGTATCGTCTTAGGGAACATAACCGTTTTATTGCATTTGCTGCCCTTTAATAAATCCATTATTCGGTTTGAGATTTACCCGCTCAAACGTCATAACTCATTACTAATGACGTATAAAATTTCACGTGCAGACAGTCTGCCGTTGCTAAAATGCAGGTGCAAAATGACCTAAAGTTACCTTTATATGGATTTTTGGCATAATAGAAAGTGGGTTGATATCAGACATTGGCACACTTGCGCAATACCGTCTAATATTGACAATTCTGAGGCATCATAATGCACTTTCGATGCAATTTTGTTTCTTTTTTTGTTAGATATGTAATAATTATTAATAAAATCTGAGAAGGTTGATCCTACGATAGCAACAAGAGCTTTGTAAACACAGAAAATTGCTGACTTTGTTTGACTGAGTTTTTTCATTAGCAGGAATGAAAATCTCACTGCCTATGGATTATTCGCAGATGTTTCAAGTAAAGTACCTCCGCACTCTGCATGTTCTGCACCAAAAATGTCAATACGTATACACAATAAGAAGATTGAATGTGGTAAATACTCTGTGTTCACTCGATGTTAATAACCAATACCCGTTACACTAAAAAGCAATACTCGTGACACCGGCAAGCAACTCCAACGCAATACTCGGTACACTAACATGTTCATGTATTCTCAAAATGCGCTGACATCTGAAATTCTATTGTTGATTGAACATTTACAACATAAATATTATCATCGCTATCACATTTCACTCGATTCAACTTTTTCTTTTAAGGTAGTATATTCACAAAATCATTAAATTTGCTCATTTATCACGAGAGCAAAGAGAAAAATTTTACCTCCTAATTATTCTCAAAATATTTGGGTTTTCAGTAACTAGAGAAATTATCAAAGTATTTGTTTTTCTATGAAATTTATATCTAACCAATTCAAAATGACTAAATATCGTCAGTGAACTTACTTTTGTCCCCGTCCAAAATCGCAAAATGGGATGAAAGTCCTCATAATGTCGAGCAATATCCGGGGTACTGTATACCGCAGTGATAGAATATCTGTAAGTTATGAGGCCTCTTAAGGGGTACCGAAATTAACCATTATTTTGTGTGAAGAAAAGTAGTTCCCGTACATAAAATATAACCCACTATAATTAAACAATATTGTTACATAAGACCAATTTTTTCATTTAAAATTGTTGAAGATAACATATTCCCAGAGGTAAATACGTGTCATTCAGGATATATAGCGAAGACTAAACTTAAGTATCTATTACCTTGTACAGTTGCCCCTACGCCTTCACATGCAAGGGCGTGCTTATATGCTTGATATTTCATCATATTGCCCACTTATCTGTACACAGTTGGTATAAGTGGAAATGCTTTAAACGGTACACAGGTGTTATTAGTGGAAATCCTTTCAACGGACCTCATTTGTAAGTATTTTGCGCATGCGCGCGCAAGGACGGAGTCCACCAATGTTCATAAGGTCACGTTTTGACATCGCACAGGTGAAAGTGATTTAAAATAAAACTTTTTATACGTACTGCCAAGCTGACACTTAGATTTTGTTTTGTTCATAAAATGCTTGATTTGATATCATTTCTTTAAGAATGCAAGTAAAAATGAAGCGTTAAAATGAAAAAAAACGGGTACTGCTTCTGTACGGAAACTGTTCGCATGCCAGTAAACATTAGGATTGATAATTCATTTAATCTTTGATTAGTCTCGTGTTTAAGATTTCCATGTTAAGATAATGTCAATGTTTTTATTGTTTATTAGCCAAAACTATGCATATATGACAAGGTAAACATTTTTTTTTTAAATTTTGATATTAATAACCTTTGCAATGGTATTTTCAGATACACCATACACAAATGATGGAAAGGTTATCAAAACGAATCACCCTCTAATGATAATGGTAAGGTAACATACTGATTTTGATTTTACGATTTCATTTTATGCAATTTTTTACTTTTTCTTGTTGCATTATTTATTGAGAATAACATACTGTCTTTTGAAATCAATTTTATCAGGCAAGGCTAATATAGGCTAGAAAGCGGCGAGGCTATATGTTATATTTTCGATCCTTGACGATTGTTCAACACGACATTTTGTTGTGTATACATTTTACATGGTATTTCTAGTTTCTTGAATTTGGCCTTTTTTAAACATGGGTGGTTCGAGTATTCCTACTTGCAGACTGTATGTAGATCTAATCACCCTTAGCATATGTTGCCAGCTTTTTAAATTTGTCTCTTGACGTCTTGTCTGAGATATACAGGAACGCCGCCTTTCCTTGTTGATCTTGTTTATCATATTTCATAACCTCAGATCCTTTTTATTAGTTCCGCCCATTGTTTTCTTGTTAAGGGCACACGCATTCTTTTACTTGGGGACCATAAGCCGCTTTTCTTAGAATTACATTACTGTGTCACATTGAAGGTTCCATGATGCCAGATGGCAGCCGTTTGAACACATCTGCGGATGTTTCTAAATTAAAAAAAAATTGATTAACAAGATGTTTCTGATTTTAGTTTCATAATTTCACTATTTTTGTGTTTAAATGTTGAATTCTGCTTAAGTCGGTGCTAGGGGGCGTAGACCTAACTTGCACTTTCGTGTTGGGCTTTCTTTAGGGATTCTGTTTTTCTTTATTTCATTGTCACATCCGTGAACAGGCTCAATCAAACCGAGCCTGCGATATTTTACACTTTTGCGTGTTGGGCTTTCTTTAGCCCTCTATTTCTTTGCCGAGCCGTTTATGCCCCTGATAAAATTGATATCAAAAGACAGTAGACTAGCATGTCTTTCTTTTTATCATGTAATACTGTCAAAACTACAGAATTATCTACTTTTAAATAACGACTTTTGTAGGTTTTTTTTGTTCGAAGAAATAATTCTTGAAAACAAATCCCTGTGCCCCTGAAACTTAGAATTTGTAAATGGCGACCATCTTTTTCTTGCGACTCGAGATTATTTCCTTTGATAAAAGATACAACATAATTAAATAAAATAAGATTCTTACCTTTTAACATCGATCCAAAAATATCCCTATGAATCACATAAATTAAACTGCATTTTTTCCGTTAAATATCAAATTCAAAAGTTTATCATAATATCTGTTTCAATCAAAGAAAAGTCAAGTCGGCAATCAAACACAAGCTACATAAACATGCGTCTTATTTTCTGATTGAAACTATTTGTGCACTATTTAATTAATAATATTCTGGCGGAACAAATTAAACAAAAATTTACAGGTTCTCCAAGAAAACTCTCTACAGTAGATAGCATGTTTCTGACGTACTGTAGACATCGATGATGTCATTTGCGAAATGAATTATGGCGTCACTTTATTAAATTGGTACTTAACTTTTCGCTATCTAATTTGTTCGCAATTGAAGACGAAATAAAAATAATAAAAATGACATTTTGATTCGAGACTTGTAAGGGTATAAGATAAAAATGTAGAAATTCAAAGGCTGAGAAAAATGAGAATATAAGCAATTGAAAAAAGTCCGTTGAAATGGCCGGGCTTGTTTTTAATATAAGGTTACTAACCTGATATCAAAGATATTTATCAGGCAAGTGTTATCGGGCAATTCCACAGCAGTTGCATGATAAATAGATAATAACATGCTACTGTCTTTTGATATCAATTTAATCAGGCGTGGCTGATATGGGCTAGAAAGGGGCGAGGTTTGATATCAAAAGACAGTAGCATTTTTTTCTATTATCATGTAACACATAAAAACTGTCAAAATAACAAAATAATCTACTTTTAAATAGCGAATTTCGTAGAAAGGGCATTTTTGTTAAAAGAAATAATTCTTGAAACAAATTCCTCCGCCCCTGAAAATTAAAATTTGTATATGGCGGCCATTTTTTCTTTCAACTAGAGATTATTTCCTGAGGTAATAGATACAACAGAATTTAACACGATAACATTCTTACCTTTAAACATCAATAAAAATATCCCTAAGAATCACATAAACTTTACTTGAATTGTCAATTTCAAAATTTCACGATAATTTCAATCAAAGAAAAGTCAAATCGGCAATCAAACACAAATGTGTCTTTTTGTTTAACGAAACAATTTGTTCACTTATTAAATAATAATCTGACGAAATAAAGTAAACATTTACAAGTTCTCAAAGATCGTCTAGCCTGTTTGTTTGTTTACATGTATAATTTGACGTTGACATCGATGATTTCATTTGCTATATAAATTACATGACGTCACTTCATTTAGTTGGTGCAAAACTATTTGCTATCTAATTTATTCGTAATTGAAATAGAAAAAGAAATAATAAATATCGAATCTTGATTCAAGACTTGTAAGGGTATGAGATAAAATTGTAGAATTCACATGCTGATAAAAATGAGAATATAAGCAATTGAAAAAGGTCTTTTAAAATGGGCAGGGCTTATTTTTGATATCAGGATACTGACCTGATATCAAAAATCATTAGGCCTATCGGGCGGTTACCATAGCAGTTGCATGATAAAATAATTTACCATTGATTTTTTTCTAGAACTAGCACTTTAATTATTCAGGTAAAGTCCAAACAGACACAATTGCTGGACCATCCACTAGTTTCAGCTCTTCTTAGAAGGAAGTGGATAAGGATTGGTCTTTTTTTATCTTTCGCTAATTTTTTGCTGTATGCGGTCTTTCTGTTATTGCTTACTGGTTTTGCAATCGATGTGCGAGCTCCATATGAATTCAATAAGTAAGTTATAATAATTATATACGTATTATTCATTGTGCCTTTATATATTTTTTTAAATCATGTACAACTATATGTATTTTTTAAAATAATGTATGTGACATGTGTTAATTAAATTCCGGTTAAATGTGTTGAATTTGTTTCGGAACACTTTACTCAGTTTTCATGTATAATTAATATGTTCGTACAAAACTTTTTCAGCATAGCGTCATATCAATCTCAAATCAAAGTGATTTGTAAACAAAGTTTGCCATGATTTTAACTTTTTTCTTGTTAACGATAGCTTGATTACTTTTAAGTCATCGATTGAAACCTAAAATTTTGTTGAATTATCCAACACTGTTTTGTAAAATAATGACTCATAATACGACCTTTAATGGATAAATGGCCATGGGCAAGCCTTAAAACAAGAGAAATGCGATTTTAGCTGTAAACATTTCAGTATCATACTACGAGAAGGCTTCATTCAACTGCTATTGCATATCAATTTCATAATTACAAATGTTTTTGCAGTTTTATTCTTCGCAAAAGGTCCCATTATTAGGACGTAATATAGTATATATTATAGTATAAAAAGTACTTCTTTCAATATGGTATGCATTTGAATTTAAAGTGCTGTTAATTATTTAATTCTGTCATGAATTTTATCTACATATTGCAATAAAGTTCGCCATCTTACAATGAAGTTGAGTGTTCGGAATTTGAAAATGACAGAATTCCAGAATTTGCAAGGATTGCACAACCCGGAATCATCATCGTGGCTGTTGTAGTTATTTTGATTGAGGTAAATAAATTCCGTCTGGTTTCATATACTGTTTTTTGTTGTTGTTTTTTTGTTCGTGTGTACATTCGCCAGTTCTATAGAGCGTCGACATCAGCTAGGTTCATGAGCAAGCTGATACAAATGAGTCTGCAAATTTTTCAATTGTGTGTTTTTAATGGTTTTTAGGGACTACGGTTTTGTTTTGTTTATGCTTTTATTTATATTTATTTATTTATTTTTCTTCTTTTTCAACCAGTATTTCATCTAATCAAAATTCTTTTACAAACATTTGATAAATAACAGTTTATATTTTTATATTATAGTTTATATCGATTTCATATTCATCATTGGTGTTTATATTGATGACTGCAATAATGAAGTCAGAATCTCAATTTTTTATTGGAACGTGTTGATTTTTCCCTACACTTCTTATAGTATTTTATATGCCAAAAGAACTATTGTAATAAATCTACTTTAATTTCCTATAATTTACAGATTCTAGAAATGAAACAAATGTTTTCTTGGAAAGTGTGGTTATATTTTATGGAAATAGAAAATTGGCTGGAATGGGTAACATGCATTACTGCAATTATTTTTGTGGTGGATATAAATGGTTGTGACATCGAGTTTGGATATAAGCCGGTATGACTAATTGCTACATATAACATTGATGAGAAACGAGCGGATTTTTAGATATTATAATATTGTCTTCCTGTAAAGGAAATAACTCTTACGTTAAGTACAGATACAGATGTATCTTTAATTGATTTGATTTTATTCAATTATAATAAAGTCTTATGTTTAAATTTTGAAATTTACAAAGGCAACCACCTTCCATTTCTTTACTGTCCTTGATGTCTCATTTCAAGCTTAAAATTAGAATGAAAGTGAGTAGTTTCTAGAGAAATTTTTCCTAAAATGTTTATTGAAAACATATTTAAAATTCAGTTTTACTTATCGTTTTAAATTCACCCAATCAAAATATATTCCAGCCATTTCAATGGATTTGTGGGACGATCTCTGTGTTCTTTGCTTGGACCAATATGTTATGCATCATACAGAAATTTGACTGGCTTGGAATATACGTTGTTATGTTGAAACGAATCATCAAGATGTTTACAAAGTTCTTTCTTGTCTTTTTCTATCTGATTGTAGCATTTGCCATATCCTTCCACTGTCTGTTTCAAAACCAGGTAAGATGACAGAATAGTATCATGGTTATTGGTCAATGTAAGATTATTATTTTATCTAAATTACAAAGTTCTGCAAAACGTTTATTTTAAACGACATTCGAGAAGTAATAATGATAATAATATCTAAGAAAAATATATAAAAGTTCATTTGCATGTTGACTAAACTTTATTTTTGTCATAAATGAATGTATTTAATATTGATGTTCAATAAATGTAAAATTTTAAGACGGTTAATGACATATGATGCAAAAATCAAATACATTTATAACGGTATATAAAAGTGGCCATATCATTAATTTTCTTACTTTTTTATAAAGATATAATCGTGTACATCAGTTATTGGATACTTTTAAGGTATATACATTATATTTTGCTGTCACGGGTAAAAGTTTTGAAATGACTAAAATGTTCATCCTCTTTCACATTATTTGAGCAGATTTTCCCTCTGAGGGTTCCTGATTACAAACGTTTTAGACTCAAAAGTGTTATGAGTCGTGTTGCCAATTAAAAACATTCATTGCGGTATTATTATATTCATGTGGTCATTCCGTGTCAATGATCCCACTGCCTATTTTGTAGAAGATCAAATATAGCTTATGGCAGGTCAAATGTGTTGCTTGTTATGATATCTATCAATCTGCTGTTTAATTTTTATTTCGTGTTCATTGCTGTCAATCGGTCACCACTTCCAATGATTGTTGATACAGATTTTCACGATACAGTTTATTTAACGTTGATGCTATCAATTTAATATTTGCTTCAATGTTCTGTCCTATAGTCTATCTTACACAACGTTTGTGCAATATTGTTGTAGATATCTAATAAAAAGTGAGAGAAAATAATTTGCAAGTGATTTAGTTTGTCCGAATATGTTGCCTTTTATGCCCCGTTGGACGACTCTTTCAACGGAAGATTTAAAACTGAATTAATATAAGTTTCAATTTTCATCTTTGAGTCTAGAAATTCACTGATATTTCTTACATATTTGGAGATTTCATTTTAAGTTATCAATCATTTCAAAATTGTTCCTTTATGTTTAGCAATTTATCTGTGTTTGGAAATTGACCTATGATGTATGTTATATCGTATTCTCAGTTTTTGTGGCAGAGAATCAAAATGAACGAAATGGCTTATATTTGCAAGAAATGCATTTTTTCTCGCCTTGAAAGGGACGGCATATAGGAGTCACTTTTGTTGGCGGTATCGGCGGAGGCGGCGGCGCCGTCCCCTTAGGCTTGTCCGGAGCATATCTCAAGCACTATGCAGTTTTATTAATTTTGACGTCACATATTTACAATCAGTTCAAATGCCACTAAAGTTAAAGGTACATGTAAATTGCATGAGCAGTGTGTATAAAAAAACCTATATCTAAGAAGAAAATGCCTAACTGACAGCTATGCTGTTGGCAAGGCGACACATCCGACTCGCGGAGTTCTAGTTTTAAACGGTTGTTAGACAGACATAGCTTACTATCAATGGCAAAAAAATAGTGTTTGAATAATGTCCGAATATGACTTAATTCACAATGAAGAATTATGTTCTTTTGAACAAACCTCTGAGAAGAGACTTTACATCAAAAGTGCGAGCAATGACAGTCATTTATTTTTTAAAAAGTTGGTTGTTTTATTATCTATTGTTTGCCTGTAATGCCAAGAGTTTGACAATGGATTTTTTTATAAATCATTCTAAATGCAGTAGAAAAGTCTTAATATTGCATTGTTACATCCTTTTCATCCAGAATTTCGTACTTTCTGTAAAGTTGATTTATTTAAATGAATTTCCTGAAAGTTTTGTGGATATAACAGTAAGTTTCTAAACCTTGACTACTTTTTACAAACATACAGATATGTCAGATTTCTAAATTCACCATTTTCTCTTCTTTTTTCTTTTTATTGTTTCATTTGACGATTTATGAAAATGACGTGCATTACTCTGTTATCAGTACGCCTTTATTTTACTTTTTTTCTTTGCAACTTGTGAGTAAATAATGTATGCTGTAAGAACATGTTGATGACAGATGTCAAAGAAATTTTACCAGATACACATGGCGACGATTTGCGGAGCATTATGCTTTGTACTGGTATATTTAATCAGATATACATAAAAATAAAATCGGCAATTTCGGCATATGATGATCATTTCACCGTCGTCAGTTTGTCCGAATGGACTCAAGTAACATTATGGAATAAATATCGGTGTTTATTTCGTTCAGACTGTATTTGTAGCGAAAAAGGTTTCTCATGGGTTTAAGAGAACAAAGGGATAATCCCATAATGTCACCTCCGTCCGTCCGTCCGTCCGTCCGTCCGTCTGTCTAACAGAAACTTGTCCAGGATAGTAGCTTTGACATGCTACAATATTACCCGCGACAAATAGGTAACCAACTGTCAAATCACCCTTCAATAAAACTGATTTTTTTTCATATTCAGGCGACATGTGATCGCTAATCGCTCTTGCTTAAAAAGAAACTTGAATAGTAGTAATTTCGTATTTTCCGTACAATTTGCAGTTTAGTCAGGTATAAACGAAAGTAAATATATTTATTTACTCACAAAAGTGTGAAGAGTTTGTAATACGTTTACTTAATAAACTTTAATGCAATATTTAGGATGTCCCTCGTACATAGCTCATTTTTCGTGAAGATTGATGAATGTGTGTTTCTCCATTGTAGCAACATTTTGGTACATTTTGGATATCATTTATGAAAACTACTTCAATGATGATTGGTGGTCCGGACTTTGTCACCACATTTTTGGATGAGACCGTGCATTATAAGCCAATAAGCTATGTGTTTTTCTACGGCTTCATGTTGTTGATGACCATTGTTGTCATCAATCTTCTGGTAATTTAATAGAATAAGATTATTCAACCAACACATTACAAAGCTCCTTAAACATCATTCATCCATTAAGTGATATTTCTGTAATACATAAAATTATAAAATTATGTTCTACTGGTCTTGTTCTACGGGTCGTCTCTTTTGTCCTACTACTTTACTTTTCTCAAATTACAAATTGATATAATTGATATTCATATACCGTTGATAACATTTTAAGTTATAAGTTTTAAAGATTTTGAAAAGAAAGCAACGAACAGATTCAAAATTGATGTGTTATGTAAATATTATTTTATTTTTATTTTAAGGTTGGCTTGGCAGTAAGCAATATACACGAATTCCAGAAAAAGGCTGGTCATACTAAGAAACAAATGCAGGTAAAATAGTGTACTGATAACTATGCTAAAATAAAAAATCAAGTTTATCATTTAATCTTGACAATAACATATTAGTGTTTGTTTGTTTTTTAATTATTGAAAAACCTTAGATAAAATGAAGCTGAGTGCTGGTGTATTTATTCTTTTTGGAAGCGTAAAAGAAACAACGACCTTACAGTTTGCATCTCAATTTGTCAAAGGTTGAAAACACAAAACGAGCGTCTATTTATAGTCATAGATTGTGTTCAAGTTGAGCTATTTTATCTTTAAATTTGTGTCGCCAATGTCAACACATTGTACTTTGTTGATAGTAAGGCTCTTTTACAAGCAGGTCCATTTAACCAGTAAAAATTTAATTATTGGGCCCAAAAAATGACATTTGCAAACAGTATTTGTTTTTTCGTCTGTGAAATAACTATTATGTCTAGCACAACAATACAAAACTCTTGGCCATGTAAAAAGATTTAAATGCCAATCTGCCTAATATTAGGTTCACCGAGTACATCGGATTTTTGTTTTTCTTGTTTTGCTTTGGGATGTGTTGTTTTTAGCTCACCTGTTACAAAGTGACAGGGTGAGCTTTTGTGATCGCTTTTCGTCCGGCGTCCGTCCGTCCGTAAACTTTTACTTTAAATGACATCTTCTCATAAACCACTAGGCCAATTTCATTCAAACTTCACAGGAATGTTCCTTTGGTGGTCACCTTTAAAAATTGTTCAAAGAATTTAATTCCATGCAGAACTCTGGTTGCCATGGCAACCGAAAGAAAAAACTTTAAATATCTTCTTTTAAAAAACCCAAAGAGCTAGAGCTTAGATATTTGGCATGAAACATCTTCTAGTAAGTGTCTACCAAGTTTGTTCAAATAAAAGCCCTGGGGTCAAAATTGGCCCCGCCCCAGGGGGTCATTGATTTTCCCTATATACATATAGTAAAAACTTAAAAAATCTTCTTTTAAAGAACCCATGGAGCTAGAGCTAAGATATTTAGCATGAAACATCATCTAGTAAGTGTCTACCAAGTTTGTTCAAATAAAAGCCCTGGGGTCAAAATGACCCCGCCCCAGGGGGTCATTGATTTTCCCTATATGCATATAGTAAAAATTTAAAAAATCTTCTTTTAAAGAACCCATGGAGCTAGAGCTAAGATATCTAGCATGAAACATTTTCTAATAAGTGTCTACCAAGTTTGTTCAAATAAAAGCCCTGGGGTCAAAATTGGCCCCGCCCCAGGGGGTCATTGATTTTCCCTATATGCATATAGTAAAAACTTAAAAATTCTTCTTTTAAAGAACCCAAAGAGCTAGTGCTAAGATATTTAGCATGAAACATCTTCTAATAAGTGTCTACCAAGTTTGTTCAAATAAAAGCCCTGGGGTCAAAATTGGCCCCGCCCCAAGGAGTCATTGATTTTCTCTATATGCATATAGTAAAAACTTAAAAAATCTTCTTTTAAAAAACCCAAAGAGCTAGAGCTAAGATATTTAGCATGAAACATGTTCTAATGGGTGTCTACAAAGTTTGTTCAAATAAAAGCCCTGGGGTCAAAATTGGCCCCGTCCCGGGGGTCATTGATTTTCCCTATATGCATATAGTAAAAACTTAAAAAAAATTCTTTTAAAGAACCCAAAGAGCTAAATCTTAGATATTTAGCATGAAACATGTTCTAATAAGTGTCTACCAAGTTTGTTCAAATAAAAGCCCTGGGGTCAAAATTGGTCCCGCCCCAGGGGGTCATTGATTTTCCCTATATGCATATAGTAAAAACTTAAAAAATCTTCTTTTAAAGAACCCAAAGAGCTATAGCTAAGATATTTAGTATGAAACATGTGCTAATGGTTGTCTACAAAGTTTGTTCAAGTAAAAGCCCTGGGGTCAAATTGGCCCGGCCCCGGGGTCATTGATTTTCCTTATATGTGTATAGCAAAAACTTAAATAATCTTTTTTGAAAAAAACCCAAAATAGCTAGAGTTTAGACATTAAGCATGAAACATCTTCTAGTGAGTGTCTACAAAGTTTGTTCAAATAAAAGCCCTGGGGTCAATATTTTCCCCATCCTGGGGGTCCTTGATTTTCCTTATATGTGTATGGCAAAAACTTAAAAATCTTCTTTGAAAAAACCCAAATAGCTAGAGTTTAGATATTAAGCATGAAACATCTTCTAGTAAGTGTCTACAATGTTTGTTCAAATAACAGCCCTGGGGCTAAAACTGGCCCCGCCCCAGAGGTGTCATTGTTTTTAACTATATGTGTATAGTAAAAACTTAAAAAATCTTCTTTTAAAAAACCCAATGAGCTAGAGGTTAGATTCCAGGAAACATCTGTTTGTGGGTGTCTACCAAGTTTGTTCAAATAAAAGCCCTTGGGTTAAAATTGGCCCTGCCAAAGGGGTGGGGGAGGTCATTGTTTTTCATTATATGTGTGTAGTAAAAACTTAACATCATGAAACATCTCCTAATGAGTGTCTTCCAAGTTTGTTCCAATAAAAGCCCTGGGGTTTAAACTAGCCCCGCTCCGGGGGCCTAAATACAGGTGAGCGACCTCAGGGCCATTATGGCCCTCTTGTTGTTTGTTGTTGTTGTTGGTGGTTGTAGTTTTTTTTTTCGTGTTTTTTTTTCTTCTTTATGTTATTGTTGCTCTTCCTTTATCTCTGTTGTTTATTTTTAGTTGCTGCTGTGGCTTCATGATATTTATAAAGTATTCCCTCATAGGTCTTTCTTGATAATGTATGCAAAATATTCTTGATATATTCTTTTAAACAATTTGAAAATTACGACATCGATGTTTATTTCCGTGTTTCATTCATAAATGTTACTGAAGAATTTTGTAAGACAAACAGAAAAGACTATATGTGTTGTCACTCATGTTGTGTATTTCTTTTTTAAATAATTACAGATAAAATTTATTCTTGAGTTGGAACGAATTGCTACCTCCAGATTTATACTGAAAAACGTGTTGAGTAAATTACAGCGAAAACCAAAGAAAACAGAGAAATTGTGCCCTAAGGAACAGTGCTGGTTACAAAGGAAGTATGCAGAATCTTGGAAATTAAGTAAACGTCACATTACTGCAGCAATGAATACAGGAAAGGTACACAAACATACTACAATTTAGAAAAAAAACGAACGTTTTTGAACACATTTTCTAGTAGAAAAGTAAGATAAATAGAATATTTTATCAAATAAGAAACGAGCATTATAGAAATTATTATAAAAAAGATATTGGGGTGGCATGTTGTCTGTCGAGGTCGTTCCTAGTCGTTATTAACATCGTTTATTAAACAAAGCCTTTCCCGAATTAGATAATGAACTCGAACCAATAATCACACGAAAGATAAAGACTCTACTAAAGTTATTTATCAAATACCTGTGCCGATTTTGCGACTACGTAAAAATGGTATTGTACGGCAGTGCATATATTGTGATATGACGTCATTTGCGTTCTTTAAACATAGGGTAAAGACGCGCAAATTGTAAGCGTTACACTATTGGCGTGTCAATGACAAAAATATTAATTTGCACTTGAAATAGTCTTTATTTAGCATGTGTGATAAGTGGAATAATATATTCGTATAGTTCCATTACTGAATTTACTGCACTCAATGAATATAATAATATTTTCCTCGCCAGAGGCATGCGTAATATAATTTTATTCAACTCGTTCATTAAATTCAGTATTAAACCTACAATTATTTAATATCTTTATAATTATAATTATGTAATGGTAAGTTCAATCTTTGAACATGAAATATTTAAAAAGAAAACTTACATTCTGAAACTATAACGCACAGGACATGCAGTATCACCTTGTGTTTCCTTACAAAGGTTGTATGAATAACGCAGCTTACAAAGACTTATATCAAAATCGCCTTAGTATTTGTAATCAAAACTATGGCATTTGGTGTTGAAGCAACACCTTTAAATTATTTACAAAAGTCATGTTCATTGTTATATATTTATCATATCAACTGAAGAAACATGTAGTGGTAAACTGTGTTTGTTTGAATTTTTTTTACTATAACTACAAAAGTCATATAATTACTGCCAATATATGGTCAAAATTGTATTCACCTTTGTACATACAGTTATATATACGAAAGTACATTAAAATTTTCTTTTCAAAAAGCACACTTTTTAAGCATTTTAGCATATTTTATCACCTTGTTGACAAATTTACAAATTTAAATATTTAATTTAAAAGAGAGGACAAAATTGGTCCCGCTTTGTCACTTACTTTTCATAGCATTATTTATGAAAGCACATTTAAAATTTAGTGTGTATAAAAATTGTTTATCTATTTGCAAAGCGTTGTCCTATGTACAAGTCTAAAATAAAATGTCTGGTCTGTTTTGTTCATGTCACGAGCTTAGATATATTACTACTCAAAATTTGATAGGGATCACTACTGTATATATTTCAAGGGTATCCAACAATTAATTAGGTAAAAGTGATATTTTTGAACTTTTGATATAAAGTGTGTTAATTTGTTGGAATTGTTTAAGTTTTGATTAATCACTCAAGCGTGACAACGTTTTTATCCGGATAAGGGTGGCTTTTTATGTTTTTGTGCATGGGTGATACAAGTGGAATGGATATGATAGTGAGTTGTCCACATCAAGTGTGGTGACTGTTTGCGTTGATTACGGCCTGACATCGTCTCCTCATGCTTCTGATAGGCTCGCGTATGGCGCCTTGTTGGATTCGAACCCACTCCTCTAAAACAAAAAAGTAATTCATTGTCAGTTGAAGATTTTTATACTTATTTTCAAGTTTACAAAGCTAGATACATACAACATTAAATACGGAAGCTGAGGCAATTTGCAGACGTCATGATTATTTGAGGCGATATTGTTAACGACTAACAGAATAGCCGGATATTGCAGTACACATATTGTAATAAATGGCGTCTGGATGTGAATGCTTTTAAGACAAAAATTATTGTTTGTAGAAAAAAGACCCTTTTCAACGTGATGAATGTTGGACTTTCATTCAATTTGGATTTTGTTTAAAC